AGATCTAAGAGTTTGTGACGATGGTATATTAATATACTTATTGTGCTTCTAGACATCTTCCATCGTCCTGTTTTCATTTATGTATGAAAGTTTCGGAGACAGAATCAGTCTCCGGAACTTTTTTAAATAAATAAAACCAGACGATGGTAATGTCCATTGTAACTACTCAGTTAAATGGTTTCGTAAACAAAATTACTTATCATTTAATTACAATTTCGGCCAATAAAGGATGTTTATTGCAACCAAAATTCTTCCCAATTAAGTGGCCGTGTTACCGTCCCCCATTCTTTCTTTGTACGTATGTGCCGGCTTCGGTAGATCACTTGACTCCTATCAGGATCGTGTTACGGCAGTAACTGTGGCAACCGGAAACTGCACACTTGAAGCCAGTCCACTGATCGAAATCAACAACACAACTTCCACTGTCCAGAAAATGTTAATTTATTCAGAAGCGAAATATTATAACTTCTTGTAAGCACGGAGTAATATGACCCATTTCTATTATCATATTTTAACGATTCAAAGTGAAGGACTTGTGAATTTAGGAGTGCAGCCCAATGGCGTTTGCCTCTGATCAATTCAAAACGCCAAGTTTTTTAAGACTGGTCTCCTGCGAGAGCGTCGCTTCATCCCTGAAGATTTGAATCGACTGCGTCTCTCCCAGACAAGACTTCATTTCCTGTTAGCTGATTTCAACTATCCAAATTCATCATGCAATCAGCACATGCCAATCACATAATGACCTTTGAGAATAAAACAGTTCCCAAGACACAGGACTCGGAACCCCACATGTGAGAGCGGTTATTTTCTTTAGTTTAGGGTCCAGCTACACTTTACGAGTATAACAGCTACACATGTCAACAAACAAAATTCACATCTTCGGAAAACTACGGACTTGTCCTCTTCCGGTCATCCAAACTGCATGTAGACAAAAACAAGGCACTGTTTTCTGTCCAGATACAAAAACAAGTCATAACATGCTAATAAAACAGTCACCCTTCTGAAATGGCTGAGGACCATAGCGCCCAGGGAGAACTGTAACAGGTTTTGACTGTCATAGCCTTAACTATAAATTCTGCCAATTATCTTCAAAAAAGAAACTAAACTTGACCGCTTAGACACAACTAACTCCATGAAACTGAGTCCTTCTTGAGAAGCCGCCAGTCGCTCATCTACTCAAGAATTTACACAACATTTTATGGATCCCAAAGGTTCATTACCGTGTTCAAAAAGTCCTCCATTGGTTCCTGTCCTAAGCCAGATAAATCCAGTCCATATCAACCCAACCTTTTTCTCTCAGATCCATTTTTATAACATCTCCTCACCTATGTCTAGGTCTTCCTAGTGGTCTCTTTCCTTCTGGCTTTCCCACCAAAATCCTATATGCTAAATGCCATACCCCTCTGATCCTCATTCACTTGCTCAGTTTAATTGTACATCCCTGTAACAGGCCGTGGAGGCCCATAGGGTTGTGAGACGTCAAGGCTCCCACATTTTGAAGACAATCAGCTCTCAGATGGTGGTGAGAGTGTCAGCCCTACGTGCCAGCTGCCCTTTACCCCCAGGAAGATTCCTGGTACTCATTTCTGTTAGAGGCTGAGTCGACCCCAGGGCCACAGTCAAATGCAAAATCCAATAACGTCATTGAGATTTGAACCCATGACCTTCTGGCTTGTAGCATAGTGCCTCAACCAACTATGGTAACACATGCTGTTAGCATCAGAGATTATATATAATAAACTGGAGAGGATAGGCAAAGGAAGCTGTGCTCTCTGGGAATGTGCCTAAGAGGAACTAAGAAAAGCCACAGAATATTCTAAACTGGATAGCTGACCTCCAGGCCTAGATTTCATGAATATGAAACACAAACACTATTCATTCAGCTGAAGCATGGCAGCAGTGCTGACATCTATATCTAGACTTCCAGGAATATAACTTTGAAAGCAATCACAAGACATAACTGTTATGTTTACAATACACTTTTCTGTTGCTTTAACCTTGAAACTTTATTGTCAGACCTTGTATGGATGTTAATGCAACTCCCAACTGGGTTTCTCAGCCTGGGGTGTTGTTGAAAATAAAACATCTTAAACCTACAGCAGATAATGAACCCTCTAACATAATAAAATTATCTGTGACATTAGAAAATGTCACTTCATTAATGTATTTGCAACAAAGAAAACTATTACATCGAAATATTTATCCTTTCTAATAACCTAAGAAGCTGTACACAATAAAATTAATTTACTTTTTCATTAAATGAATATACAAACACTACATTTTGATTTTCTACAAGAGGTTAATACTGTTCTATTTCTTTTGAAGATTAGCTGTATACATCAGTACATTATAAGTCTATCTTTGGTTTGGGTTAGAATATGTATTTAAACACTTAAATATTAGCTTCTAATTTATGAATTGTATTACTATATTGGGATACTGGATTATATTTAAGCAATATCTCAGCCACAAAGTACAGTTTACATTTTGATTCCATGATTACATTTCAAGTGGCTATATCAGTACATGTTTCTTTTCTGAGTAGGTTAACATCGTAAAGTTCATATACTGTGTAAACCAGAGTGCAGCAGCTTGAGCAGATAACTTTACGGAATAGAAGTTTTGTATAAACAAGTCTGAATTTCACACCAGAACTATGTATAAAAACGACCCAGTAGCTGTCTAATGATGACACACCCTTGTTCCCTTAGTAAGTGGAGCATATCAGTGTCCTAACCTCAGAGAAATGTTCGTCAGTTCCGAAGGACCCCCACATCGTGACAATGGTGATGCATCTGTGTAAGGCATGTTGTTGTGGTATACTGTTCCACTTGAAGCCTAGGTAGTCCACTATCTACTCCCATAATCCCATCTGATTAGCAGCATAATCATTCAACCAGATGCAAAAGAAAAATCCCAATAAAAATTTTGGATACTATAAGATTTAGTCATGTTTTGTGTGCATAATTGAGACGTCATACCTGTCCATCTGCCTGATCTTTGAAACTAGTGGGGTGGAACTCTTTCAAATTTTACTGTGTGAAAGGTTGGACTAAAATTTAAATGATAAACTGAATTTTCATTCCTGTTGATCAATCACAGCTGTTAATCTACACAAGGACAGGAATATTCTTTTCTTATATTGTTACATTATGCATATAAATCTTAGGTTGAATTATTATTATCAACATTATTCCTAGATGACCCATTATACATAATAAAAAAAAAAGGTAAAGCTATCCCTATAACAGGCTGCGAGGAACCTAGGGCTGTGAGACGCCGAGGCTCCCACATTTTCAAGACAGTGAGCTTACAGATGGCAGTGAGATTGTCAGTCTTACATGCCGGCTGCCCTTTACCCCCCAGGAAGATTCTTGGTACTGATTTCTGTAAGTGGCTGAATCGACCCCAGGGCCATAGTGCAGCTGGAAGGATTAGGTCAATTGGAAAAATCAGTGACCTCATCAGGAACTGCAACCACAAACTTCTGTCTTGTAACATAATGCCTAAACCAACTATGTTAACGTGTGCCCTCCATTATACATAACACAAAATTAAACTTTTCCAGGTTTCCAGAGATCTTCCTATGCACTTTCTTCCAATAGATTTGTTTTAAAATTTTCTTTGTAATTCTATAAGAGACCGTTTTTGATATTCACATTGTTCTGAAAAGGGCCACTTTCTCATATTTCCTGTAACAAAAGTATTCTGGTCGCTTATAAGGGCCAGTTGTTCTCGAATTTCCCGTTCTGCACTCATATTGGCCTGAATCAGTTTGTGCCCCCCTACATGGATGTGTGTGTGACTACCTTCCTTGGTATCTTATCTATATAACCTTACAAAATCCTCCTCCCTCTCTTACTTCAACCCAGATGATGGAGACAGCATGTTCATGCAAAACACTGCCATTCACTCAGAACACCCACCACTGGGAAAACCTGTCTGCTTACAAACACGAGTTCTTGATAACCGTGATTCAATGCTTTATTAGCTCCTAAAGTATCAATCCCCTCGTTGGTGTCTCCACCTTATCGTGGTGAAGGGGTTTGAGTATGCCAAGGACCCTGAGAGCTATACCAGCGGTAGCGTAGCTACTGGCAGGGCCTCCCTTGCTGGACAGGTCAAAGGGTAGGCATCAGACGAAGAGAGACACCAAAAACTGGTGCCGGAAGCAGCGTCATCAGCAGCGACTTGAAGCACAGAGCAAATGATGCTCGAGATGGTTCAAGTTCTTATAGCAACAGGCGTGACCAGAGTGGTTTGAACGGCTGTTGTACTGCGATGTGGAAAGCAAATGGAAAACTACCACATTATCACTTTTCCTGGATAGTCTCTTTCCAAAAACAGAAGATCGCATTAAGTGGACGAACTGTTTTGGAAGAGACTGTGGACCTGTCGTCTGACAGATTACTGATGAATGAATGAAATGAAAGTATCAATAGTATTCTGTCCCTTAGCTCATGTGAGTTTTGATTTATCAGGCAGTGGTCTATTGCAACTTCAGTTGAGAATCATATTCTTCCTTATACTGTCTGCTCATAGCAATGGGGAGCTGGAAGTTTCAGTATGGTTTGATGGGGGCTCAACTTAGAAATGGGGTTCCCTTTCTTTGTTCTTGGCTGCAACTTTTTTCAGGAAACAAATTCTTAAGTCAGTTAGGTACAGGTTGTGGAACAAACCTCTGAATGAGGTTTTGGGCTTGATTCAAAGTACCATTAGTAGTACTATCAGTAGTAGTAATAGTAGCAGTAGTGGTGGTAGTGGCAGTAGCAGTGATAGTGGTAGTAGTGGTGGCAGTAGTTGTAGCAGTTGTGGTAGAAATTATAGTGGTGGTGGCAGCGATAGTGGTGGTAGTGGTAGTAGTGGTGGCAGTAGTTGTAGCAGTTGTGGTAGAAGTTATAGTGGTAGTAGTGGTGGTGGTGATAGTGGTGGTGGTGGTAGTAGCAGTGATGTTGGTAGTGGTGGTGGTAGTAGTGATAGTAGTAGCAGTGGTAGTGGTAGTAGTGGTGGTGGTAGTAATAGTAGTAGTAGTGGTGGTGGTGGTGGTGGTGGTGGTGGTGGTAGTAGCAGAAGTGGTAGTGCTAGTAATAAAAAGATCTGACAGTGTAATGACAGCTGGTGTGAAACAAAGTTACAAAATGCCTTGTACATTAAAAATACCTAAGTGTATGGGCATTGTTCAGTGTAACTGCAGTGTAGTGCATTGTTTCCAGAAACCTTAAGGTAAACAATCAATCTTTCTACATATTCCAGTATCCCACAAAAATAATGACATCAGTAGCAACAACAGTCATAAAGTGAATGTGATGTAATGCTGCTTTCACTGCCATAAGACAGCAGCAGCCATAACAAAACGAACTAAGTTCACGCTTCATGACGACCCCATTTCTGCATGCTTGTCTTCATCCATCTAACAGTTTTTGGGCAGAACTTCTTTCCACCAGTTATCCTGATAATGATACTTCTGTATCTCGATTCCTTCTCTTGGAACGGGGAACACGAAACCTCCGAACTCTTTTACTGGTAGTGGCGGTGCAATAAGTCTTGGAGGAAAACATTCTAGAGACGTCATTCCTTCACAGTCTGGCGGCAGCATTCGACGCTTCCATCCCACACGACGTAACATGCCAATCTGCCACAAAAATGAAATAAGAATTATATGATTTAAATTTGTAAAATTGGAGATTAAATTAGACATGAGTGACTCACAAATCAGTTCTCTGGAAATAAAATCCAAATATTTATAACAGTGAAGACCCTCATTCCATACAATCCTGCACCAGTTCATTCCTACTTCCTGATAAAATACTAAGATATACTTCAATACTGTTTTCTTGACCCCACTCAATCTTCCCAGAAGTCATCTTCAAAGACGTAATCTTCCAACAGACTTCCCCATACTGATTCTTCTGTATGCATTTTTGTTTCCCCCATCTTAATAGTATGCATCCTGTTGTGTGTTATAAAGAAGGTACACAGAATGTATACAAAAGTATGCAGTCTACACAACAATATTCTTTATTTAAAAACAAAGTAGACACTATCGTGTCTGGTATCACTGTACGCCTGATGATGACCCAGTATAAGGGTTGAAACATGTTGCATCAAAAAAACAAATGTTGATACGATAGTGTCTACTTTGCTTTAAATACAGAATATTGTTGGGTAGACTGCATACTTTTGTATACATTTTGTGTACCTTGTTTTCCCCATCTCGCTGCATGACTTATATCAGTAAGTATAGAAAAATGACCAATGTATGCTCTCAGAGAATGCAACACTCACAAATAAACATTTTTTTACCTATGATATGCAAGTAATTAATGAATTCTTACAGCAGTTATAGAATCATTTGTCTGGCTCCTTGCAGCCTGTGTACAAAATTCAAATACAATTATTTAACCTTACATGTATCAGTATTATGTCATAAGTTCTTGTAGAACTCAAACTTGAGAATTTCAGTGGAAGGAAGAAAAAAAACTCTGGACATAATAGGATTTTCTATTGCAGATCAACAGGGTTTTGTTTCGAAATATCTGCATTTCACAGAATGTGACTATATTACCAACGGATCCTCCTCAAAAACAATAAGCTGCACAGATGCACCACCAAATGCAGGGTCCTTCACACCATACATTCCTTCCCCTGAGTTGTATGTTAGCTGAAGATTATGTTTCTTAAATGTCCGAACTAGGAATACTTCGTCATATTTGGTTAATTCTTCATTAAGAAGGCAGAATTCAACATCTGCTTCCCATGGTAGTGACCGTGAGATTCGGATCTGGCCCCACAGTGAGCCATAGCACAGAAAGTGTGAGAGGCCTAATGCAGATAGGACACGATGAACTCTGAAAAATAAATGGAACTGAAATAAACAGTCAGCTTATGTGGATCCAGGACAAAGCATAAAGAGACCGCGCACTGCCCTGTGAAGTACATAACGTAACAAAAATATGTTGAAGGAATGAAGGTCTCTGCTTTGCCCTGCCATGAAATTTCATAACAGAACATGGATAATGGCTTGTGTTTTTAATATAATTCAGTTCTCCCATCAAGAAAAATTATGTTGACTGTTTTAAGCCGTGCAGTGACATGTGAAAATGTATACTCAGGCTTAATGAGCTGGTATTTGATTTCAGAGTACTCAGATAATTAAAATGCTAGACTGAATTTAACTGCTTTCTTTAAACCATTAATAAAATTTGTGATTAAATACAAATTTTGGAATTAAAAACCACTTGGGATTTATATTTTATGTAAAATCACAAATAAATATTTCTACACATCTGAATAAATTTACAACAGATCAAATAATGTTTTAAATTAAATGTATAAATATTAAATATATAAATATTTTGTTATTATTCATAAAGCTAACTTAGAAAAAGTTTAAACTAACTACTTTCCCCTTCAGTTTGCAACAAAGTGGTATTGCAATTTGGAAATTGTTTTGTTTTTTGTGGAAAATATTATCTAATAATTATGTACGCCAAACATTACAGAACAAATCAGGGAATTTCACAATAGTAAGGGACTGGAAGGAAAGGAATACAATATTTGTAAATTAAAATGGAAAGGTAAATAATAATTGAAGCAACATTGTTGATAAATGTTTAAAGGGATTTTGTGCTCTGTATTTCTATTCTGTAAGGATTATGGTATATAGTCTATGCAGAACGAAATTCTACCTATTTGCAAGTTTGTGAAGTTCTTCTTGGAATTGCTCAGGATGATGGCATGTTTGCGTGAAATGTTTTACATGACTTTGCCTCAATACAGTCCACATAAGCAAAACAACAGTCGATAGGCACAGTGCTGACAAAGCACGTGTTAGTGTAATTCTCATGCTGGAATGAACAAAACACATTAAGTTATTAGTACAAGAAAACCCTTTGACTTTATAGTTGTGTTTTAGGCTGAGGATCATTTTTCAATTAAAGGGTGAATTACAATAAATAAAAATACACTACACATAAAATACATTGCTACTGCAAACAGAAACTCCATTAAATCAGCAAAGGTCCTATAAGCATTAGTAGAATTCTTGCTGTATTTCGCACTCGCGCGATATTTATCCCAAAATTTCGTGATGATTTCCTTCAAACAGCAGACCGTGTAAAAACGTAAAGTCTTTGCACTGGCCACTGTGCCTTGAAAATTACCTGTTTGCCCTTTTGTATTATAAACATTAACTACTTCTCACTTTCATCATATTTATTAAAAAATTCACAGCAACTTTAGTTCTGTTTTCAGTGCTAATGAAACACGAAACTGCATAATATTTCAGTTCAAGAGGTATTAAATTCATAGTTATCACCACGGAACATTTTCTTTTCATTACACAAAGCAGTTTCTTCGGGCATATGTCTTAACCTAATCTCTCAAAGCCGACAGGTGACATAACCCTTATAGCACCCATTTGGCGGACAGTCGCCATAATTGCACACATACGGAATTGACAGTCTCGCCACATGTACGAAAAAACATTGCTGTAGCACGTTCTTTTACGTTCATAATGTGTGACATACCAGTCGGAATATTAGGCCTTGGAAAAGGGAGTCTGTTTACTCCGTCTGATTAATAATTGTAATCAATGAATGTAGATTTATTTCGAGTAGTAGCTCTCTGTACTTGCGCCCAGTGTAATTGGGTCAGAAGTTGATCCGTTAATGCAAAATAACGTTAAGATGCGTATTTCCTGAAATACAGAGATCATCCTGCAGAGATGGAAACATAAGTATGTAAGTTAAGTAATTGCATATAATTATTTGCAGAAACTGTTTTTGAAAGATAGCTAAACTACTTCAATTATTCGAATCACGTTGGCACCACTGATAATGCGCTATTTTTATATCCGTAATCATCGAGATGTTCGTCAGTTCAAATACTGTCACCAGGAGCGCTAGTAATGTCAAAGTCGTAACATCGATCTTTGAAGCTCTTGACTGCTCACGACATCTGTGAGCAGATGCAGAAATTAAATCGGACGGTAACCCGCGGACAGTAGGTTTAAGCTGATTTTTGCTTGGTTTCAGTGGAAAGAAGACTCACGAAGGGTTTATGTTATCGTATTGTTACGTGTATTACCGGTGTGACTATAGATGGTGTATGGATTTATTGACCACTTGTATACAGCATTCGGAACTACACTTTATAGATCACTGGCACACACAGACTAATATCCTCATTCTATTAGCGTCTCCACTAGCCGTCGGCTCTTCTCGAGGGAGATTCCCCAATTTCCCTACGTTCAGGTTCTCTTGTCACACTCGACCATGCAGAATTCTTATCAACTGATAACTAATGAGTCCCAGGCTGGTGGGCATTTGTCACCAACCTCCTAGTCTTCTCTTCACAAGCTGGCTTCAACTGACAACTGTGCGGAATGCCTTTTCTCATTGCAGTGGCAGTTTCGCCTTTTCTTCCGCGAAGTGGTCAGCGTGATAAAAGTGGTAATTTGGAATAAAGAACCTCCCATGGGGTTTGAGATATGTCTCTGAGAGAAGAGCCATCTCTACATGTAAGTCCTGCAGCTGTTTACTGAGCTCATAGCGCTGCCTCCAAATGCCATTCGCATTAACTGCAACCTATAAACTCTAGGAGACATTTTGTTATGTTAAGTACCGTTTTTATAATGACCATTATTCTGTCTTCTTGTAACAGGTTCGCTGAGCTCTCATGATCTGTCGCACTACAGTGGCTACTTTTAACGAATTGGGGGCCAGTACTGACAGACCTGTTCTCTGATTCTCCTGTTGTGGCAGATGCTGCTGCACGGGGTGCCGCAAGCTTTTCCCATACGTCTGCTGTGCCTGTGGTTGCTGGTCTTGAGTGTCTCTGATGTAGTTTAGCTGCGCAGGGCTACTCTGATGAGGTGAACTTAGAGAAGAACGTCCTCCAAGATGGTCCCTTGGGAGCCATGACCCGGGATGAATACCAGCAACTAACTCGATGCTTCAAGCTGTCTTGCTTACAACATCTCGGCACGAATCACATAGAAAACAGCGTTCTTCTATTGTTGCGTTGTTGTCCATTGCCATGAAAACGTATTTACCGAACCGTTACTTAGAAACGGGTTGCATTACTCCGTCGTTCTATTGTTGCGGGCGTTACCTAGCAACGGCCGCTGCTTACAGAGACCGCTTAGCAACGGGTCTATACGTCACATTATCAAATCGTCTGCATTTCTATGTGTGCGCGCGTAGGTGTGCATATTTCTCATAGTAATAACGTTTGAAGTAATGGACAGATCTTCATGAAATTTAGCATGAATGTCATGCCACTGGACGCAACCAGAATTTTTTCACCTTCGGTCTACAATGCCAAGAGGTTCTTGTGAACTTCTGACGAACAGTGGAGAAACTCCGATGTGGTTGGAATATTCGAAAATGTGAATTGAATTTTCTTTTACGATAGAAAATCATGGTAATTACAGTGAATTTTAATATGGAGATACGTAGTAAACATGTATAAAGGTAAGAGGTAAATTTGTCCCAAGTACTTAATTATCCACCACGACATGCATATTTATGGTTGAGTGCAAGTAGGCTTGTAGCCTCGTACGGTAACCTCGGTACTATCTGGAGGTGAGTGCCGCCTTACCCGCGCGCGAATTGACCTCCTATTTCCGTTGGACAGGAGCTGGGTAGGTCCCTGAGACTTGACACAAAGCAGAACAGAAGAACCCCTAACCCTGTCGGAAAGCCAAACATGGTTCCCAGATATTCCAGCCCGTAGTCTAGTCACTACATTGACTGAACTATTCCAGTTCCCAATTGGAAAGATATCCCAAACTTATGCACAGAAACTGGCCAGAGATTTCTTATATACTGCTGCTGTCTTCTTGTTTATTTCAATATCAAAGTTGAGGGTAATGCCAAATGCCTTTTTCTAAGTTCAGGCTTCGATTCCCGGTAGGAGCAAGAGATTTTCTTTTCTCAAAAGCGTCCAGACAGGCTCTGCCCCCCTCCCGGGATCTCCTATCCGTTGGTTACAGAGGATCTTTTCGGGTTAAAGCGGCCGGGGCGTGAAGCTGACCACTCACCTCCAACTACTGCCGAGGGCTGCTTATGTTCTCACTGTGATGACCATGAAATATAGCTTGATTCCTTCTGGAGTGTGACGCCGTGTAGTCCGAGATTACTAATGCGCAGCAAACAGTAAGCAGAATACTCGTTACCTACATGGTTTAGCCTTCGGTCATGAGGATGGAGTAAGTGCATCCCTCCGAAATGTCGCTGAACTACTACATTACACTACATCACATCCCATGTCCTTATTTAACACGAATCTAGATCACAGTCAATTTGAGGACAATAAACTTTGTACTTTTTCTGTGGACAGTGAAGATAGAAACAAAATCATTATACAAAAATTATGTTTCTGGACTTTTTTTATTATCCTCTTTTTATTTAAACGTCGTCCTGTTGGAGCCGGAAATAGGGGCTGGTTCTATCGAAGGGGCCAAACTGACTAGGTTTTACAAGAAAACGGAGACAAATTCAGTCTCCGAACGTTGTTTTTAAATAAAAAACAGAATGGTATTTTAATTAAAAATGGGACCATGGATGTCCATAAACATTATATTTATATTAATGTACCATCGTTACAGGGGGTACACGATGGTGTAGTTGGTTGAAGCACTATGCTACAAGCCGGAAGGACGAGGGTTCGATTCCCGACGAGGTCAATGGATTTTTCAATTGACCTAATCCTTCAGCCGTACTGCCGTCGATTCAGCCTCTAACAGAAATGAGTACCAGGAATCTTCCGGGGGAGTAAAGGGTGGCCGGCGCGTAAGGCTGACAACCTCACCGCCATCTGTGAGCCGATTGTCTAGAAAATGTGGGACCCTCAACGTGTCACAGCCTTATGGGCCTCCAAGGTCTGTCACAGGGATAGCTTTACCTTTTTACTATCGTCATAAGCTCTTAGATCTAAATTATTATTTTATTTTGACTTCGTATGTTGACGGAACGGATAGGTTAAGGATATATGAAGACACTCGACGATGCTGCCTGTCCGTCAGGCAAGAGTCAGGCGAAATGAACTACGTACCATGCAATTAGAGCTACATGACGCGCGAAATTAGGTATCGCGGGGCTTAACGCTGCCGTTACGAACCCTTCATTTCCTCACCCCCCCCCCATAGCCAAGCCGGGACGATGTATATTAAAAAACGGAAGAAGCCGTGTTCTTCTTCTTCTCTTCTGCCATTTCCTTCTCAAGAAAACCCGTCAGCTCGCTCGGCGGAGAAGTTTGCACGTTATTAAAACTCGTGATGAGTCGCAATTACCAAGTTAAGCGTCATCTCAGCCGGGGGGGGGGGTTATTTCCTTCGCGATATCCACTCGATGGGAATTTTATGAAGAGGCAGCCAGTGGCGAACTGGTTGCTGCAGGCTCTGGGGCCGATAAAATGCATGGAGTATATTCTATAAAGTAAAGGTATCCCTGTAACAGGCCGTGGAGGCCAATAGGGTTGTGAGACGTTGAGGTTCCCACATTTTCTAGACAATCGGCTCACAGATGGCGGTGAGGTTGTCAGCCTTACGCGCCGGCCACCCATTACCCCCAATAATATTCCTCTTACTCATTTCTGTTAGAGGCTGAGTCGACCCCAGGGTCATAGTGCGGCTAGGAGGATTAGGTCAATTGAAAAAATCCAGTAACTTCCTCGGGACTTGAACCCGCGACTTTGCGGCTTGTAGCATAGTGCCTCAACCAACTATGCTACCACGTGCCCTCGGAATATGTTCTATATGTGTAAAAATATTTGTAAGCGTGAGATTTTTAGCATTGTCATTGCATAGTTTTTTTTTTTGGTAACTATAGCCAAATATTTTTTAGATTTGATATTGTCACGTTGGTGACATAGACGGGGTTTGGATTGGTAATTCGGATTTATTGCACACTTATGCAACTCGTAACCACCACCGTCTCACTGATTTAAAGATCTCTGTAACTACAACACATAAAATATTCTGTCTTCATCGTTCGTCGCTTGGTAACGACGGATTTTCCCCTTCCTCTAGGTCCCCGAACTGACCCCTGCCCCAGCTACCAGGTTCTCACTTGTTACAACTGCAGCTCTAACGCCATGGAGCTGAGCCCTCTTTGAGAAGCCGCCAGTTCCGCAGCTACTCAAGAATTTCCCAACATTTTACGGAACCCAAAGGTTCATTACCGTGTTCACAAGAGCCTAGCACTGGTCCCTTTTCTGATCGAGATCAATCCAGTCCATACCATCCCATCCTACCTCTCTACGATCTATTTTAACATCCACCCACCTACGTATTGGTCTTTGTAGTGGTCTCCTTATCTGTGGATGTCAGACGAAGCTCATTTTCATTTAAACGGGTATGTGAACAAGCAGAACTGTCGGTACTGGGCACAAGAAAATCCTGCTGTTCTTCATCAACGACCTCTACACAGCCCCAA